GGCCCGGGCTGGGGATTCGAACCCGCCACCTTAGGTGTATGTGGCTGGCGCCTTAGCCGCCTGAGCCACAGGCACCAAGCCTATGCCCTGGGGAACTTAACCCAATCATCTGACCTCATTCAGCCTCAGGGGCATCACCTTTAAGATGGGAAGGTTCACATCCGCCAGCCACTTGGGATCACTATGAGCCTCACATAAAAAATGCACCCGGAAGGGCTTTACGAACAAGGTCATACTGGGGATCTGGGGGCACAGTCTGACAAGAACTAACACCTCCAGCATCTTCTGACCCTGCCACAGCCAGGCAGGGGCACACCTAGGCTCCTGAGGCCTCCACTCCTTCTCAGTCAGTCCCAGAACCAAAGCTTCTGGGGTTTGCAAAAGGCAGCAAGTGGTGCATACAGCCTGGGCTGACAGCTGGACTCTGCCTCTCCAGGTCCTTCTCTGGGCATCCCAAGTCTTCCGTCAGCCCCTCCTGCTGAGGGCGTGGCCCAAGCCTCCCTAAGGCTCCCAAGACAGTTTCTCTGGGTTCCAACATCTAACTCTGTGGGGCTCATAGCTTTGGATCACCTTGGTTTTAAATTCATCAAAACCAAGTAAAAATCACTGTGCATGTGGCCCTCTCCAGAAATATGGTCACTGAGAGGGTTTTACACACTTCTCCTCTAACAGCACTGAGCTCACCTCGATCACAACCCAGAGCTGGAGGGGCGCAGATGTCTCCCTTCAAATGTTCCACCCTGGGGCACGTGCATGCACACAGGTGCACACACACACACACGGACAGGGGCTGCCACCTGTACCATCTGCTCCTGAATGGGCTCTGGAGCTGTCCTGTGAGCAAGGCAGAGTTACCACCAAGACAACAGCTTCCCTCGGGCACCTCAAATGCAGGTTCATGCCCTCCAGCCCTGAGAGCCGGCTGAGGGCCCAGCAGATGTCTTTGGGCTTGAACAGCTGGGACCTTCCCACCTGGAGTGGCCACCTCCAGACAGCACACCCTGAAGATCCACAGAGTTGGTGCTCTGCTCCAACTGGCACACCCCAGGGTCCTCCAGCTGCCTTTGGGACAGCATGCAGGGCAGATAGGGCACAGTTAGCCCCGAAACTCACCTGAGTGCCCCGGCTGAGGCTGCAGGAGCCTGTCCCCTCAGTTCCCAGCACTTGCCATGGTGGCCGGAGAGCTGGCCGCTACCACACTGAGACCCAGGCAGTCCCTCCAAGCTTGTCCCCACAGCCAGCCAAATCCAGGTGGAGTCATAGAAAGAGGCTGTAGGGGCGTCCTGGGACTTGACTCAGAGCAGGATCACAGGGGTCACTTCTGCAGAAGGGCCAGTCTTGCCTCCTCTAAGGCAAGACTCAAGACTCAACCTGTGACAGAGTTGGGGATCTGAGCCTGGAGTCCCTGTCTCGGTGCCCCGGCTGGGGCAGTGGTCTGGAGATGTTCTGAGGACGCACCGCGGGCGGCTATTCACTGACTGAGGCGCACTCTGCTCCCGCCGCCGTCTTATGAAAGTTCTTGGAGCAGTTTTGGAGGTTCCGTGGCGGGGCCTGGAACACGGCTCCCCTCTGGTGGCCAATTTCAGCATCACAGCCCCCTGCGGGAACGCCCGCGCGGGGCCCTGAGACGCTCAGCCAGGGACTCCACCCGCCTGCTGTAAGGACCGCTTCTGATGGCAGCTACACCTGGCGTACCAGCCACGCAAGAAACCCAGTCTTGTAAATTTATTTATAGAACAGAATTGGCATTGCTCAATTCATTCACCCAACTTGACACAGAATTGCTTCGTGCAGTTTCCTGGAGTCACATCCATCCCCAAGTGTCACAGATTGGCCGCAATGGGAATAATCAGAAGAATGCCCCTGGGGTCTCAACACATCAGCAACAAACCCGTTGTTTATGGGGCATTAGCGTGGCACGTGGGGCAGGAGATATAGGGTTGCAGTCCCGCATGGGCGGTGGCCTCAGGCGCAAATAATTGTCAGCCTAAGCATGAACGCTGATGTTTGAAGAGGAGATCTAACTGAAGGTTCAGGGAGCAATTCGTTCAGATTGAGGTGATAATAGAGGAAGGCGAATCCCCAAAATGGTTTGAGCCACAGGGGCACAGTTTACATGCACGGACGGCCTCAGGAAGACAGTGCTGTCAAGGTCATGTTCACAAATATGTTTCTGTTTGTTGGTGAAAAATTCAGCCTCGATACTGCAGGGTCAGACTTGGTACATGAGAAGTGTTTGCCAAGGCTCAGCGTTCCCTGCAGTGCGGCTGCCAACCCACAGCTGAGTCAGAAATGTCTCATTAGTCATTTTTACGATGGCCTCCTGACTGTGCCTGGGTGGCAGCTCCACTATGATGTTCCATTTTACAGACAGAAGAAAACAGTAATTATTCAATTATTATACTAATGGGGGGGGAGGGGAAGGAAGAAAAGGAGGAGAAGCCGCACCAGATAGCACATACGCTGGGCAACCCTA